GAAGACGATACTTATGCTTTCAGATATGCTAATGGACACCTAATTGGGGTACTCTTTACGGAGCATTATCCACATCCCGCAACAAATATCACAACTTGAGCCAAATAGCCCATAACAATTGAAACCATTTGGCAGCTCCCACTGCTACAATCTACACTCCTACACTCCAATAAAGCGGCCCGGGGCGGACACCCAGGGCAAACATCACAAAATTGAATAACAAAATATTTATGCGTCGAGAAAAATAATAGACCGAATTTAACTATTATTTATCTGGATGTGTGCTCGAGGAGAAGAGGGAGGTCCGGGCCTTTCATCCATATAATTTGCCAGCATGTATTTATGATTTATGGAGTCGGCGGGAGTGGGTTCGGGGTGTTGTGCGTAGGAGTGTGTGCGTGTCTTCCACTACAAATAGTGCTTCGCGAACAATGGCGAGTGGGAACCAGAATGGATGAATGGCCATTGAGCTCGGCCCGAGAATGCTCAGCACGCGAATCGCTTCGGCTATAGATACCCGCACTAGCTCTCGCTAAGAGAAGTGCGAGTTCTCCTCGAGACACGCACTGAACTATCCGAGAACTATAAGCGCTCCACTGGGCAGGGGAACAAATTGGATAATGTCTATAAAAACTAATTGAATTCTAAGCGCTGGGCACGCCACTGCGCCACAGCTGTGAGAAAGTAATGAAAGTACCGGCAAACCAATCAAACAAACCAAAAACGAGCCACGAAAACTCCACCGCGGAGTCCCAGAACTCCGAGTCTGAGGCGATGACATGCAAGCTGCTGGATAGATAGATCTACGAGAGTCTGTGTGGGCAGCAGACCCAAGCACAAGAAATAACAATTTCACACACAAGTCGTACAAAGAGGAGAATTACTCAAAACACTCCAAGATGTTCGCATGTCATGGCACCAAAAAAACCAAAAAACTGATGAAAAAAAAAAACACAAAACAAAAAGCTCATTACTCATATGCCAATCAAAAGCGGGGAGGTGGACCTTCACAGAGGGGCAACCGGACCCCAAACAAGCCGCAGATGTCCCGATGCCAGCGCTGGACTCAACTGCCATAATTAATCATTCGCCGATAATTAACAACGCCGTACGTCCAAATAGAACAACGTGCTAATGCTAATGCCTAATGTGTATCCGCCAGATACACTTCAGTCCCCGGAGTGCATGCTGGCCGCATCGGAGATCAAAAGGTTGCCAAAACCGAACACCGCACAGCGCACCCCAAAATAGTAACCAAACTGTTGGTCCAACTTTAATGAGATTGTAATGGAGCTTCGGAGGGCTTCGGCTTCGGCTTCGCTTTATTTTTGTGCAGCGTAACCACTCGAAATGCGTCACACAGATAGCTCGGAGAAAAGAAACCCCATCCCGGAGCGACCGGGGCTGTCAATTCCATAAGTAACCTTCGGTTTGAGTGATGTACTACGATGGCTACAAAACATCGACATCGCATCGCATCGCCATCGCCATCGATGGATGGTCATTAGCAAAAGATGACGACGACTGTGATGTTGATGGCGCTCCACTGATGTTGTGTACTCGTAATTCTTCCATAATGGATCTGTTATCTCTGCGCTTAATGGGTTGAGACTCGAGACCCCCTCCTCCAGTGTAGCCCTCGAGGCATGCTGCGGAATGACTGACAGACTGGAAGCATGCTTAAAACTTGAAATTAAATAATTAGTCGCTGGCCAAGTTTGCTTTTATTCTCTATTTTTTGTCGGCCGCATATTTAGATGGGGCCAGAGTAACGACCTTTTAAGTACTTTTAAGATACTAATCGCCTCTTGGTTTTTGTTGTCCGCTCTAAACAGCTAATGGCCTGTGGTGGCTGGTACTGGTTGCTGCTTGGTTGTAGTTCACTTGGCCGGCCAGTGCAACAAAGTCAGCCAGCCACTTTGGATGGCACTAATTAACGTCAACAGAAGAAGAAGCTTTTGGCTTTAGGGCCTTTCGGCCTTGGCCCGCCCGTTCCCTCCGCGACGTTGAAACCGTTTTCACAAAACTTTTCTCAGATGCGTATTAATTAAAATTTTGATAAGACTCCCGCTCCTCGGGGCTCGTGTAATAAAAGTTAAAAATAAATTACACGGAATTTGTATTTCTCCTTAGGTGTGGCACCACCATCACCACCATCGCGGTGGCTTTTTCGGCGGCAGTGGCAGCGGCAAAGGGCTTATCGCGACAGTATCTACAAATAATGGCCGACTAATAGGCCAAAGCCCCAGCCCCCAAGCCTCTCTGCGTGTCGTTGATTATGTCAGCTTTTAAAGCGTCTTTTCAACTCGACTTGGCCTGGTGCTCCTCCGGTGGCGAAAGTGCGCAAAGTTTCAGCTCCGAGGGGGGCTGGCTTACAGAGTTACACTTGTTGTCGTCGCCGGCGGCGCTGTGGGAAATGCCAGCTCCAGATGCTGGTCAACTGGCCAATAAATGGTGATAGTTCTGGGTGTAATCCGAGCCGGGCAAGTCGGGCTAGACGGGGGAAAGCGATACGGCCCCAAACTTATCAAATATTTGTCCGACTTGAGTGATATCCGAAGAAGATCCGTGTGGGCGACTGGTGTTGCCCGGGAATGTTGATTGAAAGATATTTGCCGGAGATACATTATAGACTGGATTGTTATTTGTTTGCTTTTGGAAGCCAGACATTGTGAATGAATTTTTCGCCCTGCAAGCTGCACTCCGCCTTGTGTACTTTGTTTAATTGGGATATCTGTGGCAGGATAGGTTTCATCGCCAATTACTTTCACTCCAATGAGGTTTAAAGTCAGTTATGCATTGCAGCCCTTTTAAAGACAAGTCATAATCGCGGCAGAGCTTATGAACTGTGCCAGCCTCTGGCTGATGGCATTCCAAGTATGCCATGGCTGATGGCACTTGCCCAAAACCGAGCCGGAGAAGCCCAAATTGAATGCGAAAATTCCCACACATTGTTCAATCTAATGAGAACTATGTCAGTGCTACTCCGTCGTTTATCCCCTCCCTCTAAGGAATTCTTGGGCTTATGCTTATATTTTTGCCCTTGGGCCGACACTCGAGATAAAAACTCTTGGCACAGAGAGGCACTCGAAGCCGGCTCCGTTCTGGGGCTTGGGTTCCCCACCTCTCCTTAAAGTCTATTGAACAAAAGTCTATAAGAACATATTTTATGGTCAGTGTGTCTTGAATTTTAAATGAAAATTCCATAAATGCCAGCCCCATAAAAATACACCTACTGGGAAATGGCTCGGCGCCCTCCCCCGGATAGGTCGGTTGAGAAAATTGAATACCATTCGAAAAATTAGCCAATTAGTGCGCCATAAAGCTGCTTCGAAATGTCATAAATATTTTGAATGTGGAAACCCGGAATAATTGCACAATTTGTTTCAATTATCAGTGTGTGGACGGGCAGGATACCGGCAAGGATACACAAGCACGTTTCCTTTGACTTTTCCCCCACTGCACCTACACTATTAGCACTCAATTAATATGTCAAATGAGAGTATCAGTTTCAGCTCTAATTAACCTTTGAACCTCTTCACAAATCAGCGCCTACACAAAAAGGCAAAGCCGAATAAGCCCGGGCCCCTGGGGTGGCGGCTGGTAGGGTAGCTAAGGCTGGTGCGGCGGTGGTTGCAAGGTGACAGTCACGAGTCCCATTATACGATATTGTATGTACAATTTGAAGCAACTCGCAATTACCAACGACACGTCAAGATGTGAAATTAACACCGTCACACAACCAGACAGTCGGTCCGACCCGCCAGGAGGCGGGGGAGTGGCCGGCAGACAGACATATTAATGTATCTGGCTGGTATTTAACATTCAACAACAATAACACTCAGCGTGTGTGTGGGTGACATTTTGGTTGGCTGCCTCGAAAATCATTAAATCACACAGGAACAAAAACAGGCGAGGGAAAAAAGCTTTTCCTGTTTGTGTCAGGCGTACAATTGGCCACCCATCCCGGGGCATTCTATGGCTACGGCCGCCCAACGCCCAACGCGGCGGAAGGGAGCGCGAGGACCTGCCCCACGCATATCCTGTCAGGCCGAAGCTGGAGGAGGAAAGCAAAAAAGCTGCGAAGAGCTACGCAACCACAGCACGCAATACTCGCATTTCATTAGACACTTTGCAGCGACGACTCCTATTACTCTTCCCGGGGGGGAGCCACAAAGCCAATTGGGGCGAGTGGCTGGCACTTCCTTCTGGACAGGAACTATTGCCAAATGACGTCGTTCGGGTGACTTTCTCCAAACGAAAGCGACCGCCATTGGCAATTATAGGGCCACCAAACGGAGTCTATAGCTCTAAAGTACATCATTCGATAGGAGGGGCACCCGCAGACCTGGCCCTTAAAAATACACCGAAATAACCTTAATTATATCAAAAGTAAGCAAAGCGGCAATAAATATTTGACAGCATTAGCTCACGGTTGGCAGACAGAGTGGCATAATCAAGGACCCACTACAAAACTAACTATTCCATTATCTGACCGAGCCAACTCGCCAGAAGTGCAAATAAAAACTTTGCTGCCAGTGGCCACTGGCCAGTTCACGGGACCAGTGCCACTGCCACAAATGAGTTTGTCATTATTCAGGCCCTGGCCAGAGCCACTACTAGCTGGTTTTTTGCGGGTCCTTGCTGCTGCCACAAATTAATTACAATCCACGAGAGTGGCAAAATGTTGTTCTTGTGTATTTTTCATACAACATATTTATCAACACGGCTGGCGCGCAAAATGTTTGCCTTGGGAAGACGACTCTGCGAGAATAAATTGAATGATATTAGGGCGACAACTTTTCATTTAGTTGGCCCGGCCAGGGGACTACCGGGGCTGCCCTTAATTTCCGGCCACACGCATCGGAAAAATGAAAACGTTAGCCGTGGAATGAAAAATCGTTAGGCCCGGCCGAACGGAGCCGTGTGCCACATACACTCTCGGCCCGGTTTCCTTTTCACTTTTGGGATCGCTGGGCTTTGTTTTGCGCTTCACTTACCTGGAAATAGGTCTGACCCTTGTCCACCCAGCCGATGGCCATATCGGCGCCGGCCAGATTGCCATCGGGCGAGAATCCGAAGCCGACGTAGCCCAGGGTACGTGCCTGTATTTCGAACGTAATATCCTGATTAATGATTTGCCATAGTATGCGAAAATCCTCATTCAAATCGATGGCATGATCCCAAATGGGTGTTTCAGTCTCGGCTGAGGAGCTGGTGCTGGTGCTGGAGCCCGATGTTTTGTTGCTGCGAGTGGCCGGCTTGCTGGCTGCCCGGGCTCCGTTCGCCCCGCACGAGACGAGGAGGAGCAGCAGGAGCAAGCTGAACGTGTGGCAGGATATAAAACATGTGATTAACGATGACCGCCTTGAACTTGAATGGGCCACTCCCGTCGCTCCCGTCGTAACTGCTTTCCTTGTTCGCTGCCACATTGTGCTGTCCATTTTGTGCGCCGGTTAGCCGGGTGCTTGGGTTTAGCAAATAGTTGTGATTACTTTTCTTGTTGCCGGCTGGCTACAGCAGCCACGTTGACATTTATTACTCTCAAAATCACTGGGCTCTGGTCAGTGGACACTGAACACTGAACACTGAACACTGGTCAGTGGAGAGTGGATGGCTTGGTAATTACGCAACTGTCTTGGCCTTTGTCTGGGGATGCGTCTTTGGTGTTATCACAGTTACGATTATTTATTTAAGCAATTTTACTTTCGCTGCTGCTTCCGGTTCCGTTCTGCCACTGGTGGCTCATTAGTTTCGCTTGTCACCCGGACAAAGCCCCGTCGAACTGGGCCCGAGGTAGCAGATAGATAGCTGGCGGATGCAACCTGAAACAAGTTGGTAAGAAAGGAAAAAATGTTACATAATTGCTATAATTTGTTGTCGGTTATAATGGCTGAAAGAACCCGATGGCTGCCCCTTCGTGCTGCAATGCTTAAACGCATATAATTACATAAATTATGAACCGGTATCTATGAGATACACATCCCAGTCGGAGCTGCAGACGTCCATCCACACATCACAACAATGTTGACGCTTTTTCTGGCCTCTTGCTGCCATCGCAGCTGGAAGTTCGTCAGCGTCTTCCTTGAAGCGTTAATTAGCCTGGTCACGCAGTTTTCACAGCCATGTATAGTACGTCGGAAGACGAAATCGCTGGCTGTACTGGCAGACCGAGCAGGGAAATTAAAGTCTGCGGAGGGGGCTCCCTGCTCACTGACAGGAAGATGACAAATATCTCACGATGTAGCTCGCAACAAGCTGGCTTTTAATAAGCTGCGAGTGGAACAGTCGGAAAGTCAAACGAGCTCCTCAGCGGAGGGGATTCAAGGATGAAAGCTCTCCCAGGGGTCCCCATCCCGCCCCTTGACATTTTTGGAGTATTCGAATGACTAATTCCGGGCTTCCCGCCGCACTCGGGTATCAAAAGTCCTCAGTCTGGCACGCAATTAGTGCGTTGTGGCCGCTCAAAGCAAATCGAAGATAATTACAGCTTGTCATAATTTTAATGAAGAAGGTCGCCCGGCCTGAACCCAAGTCAGCTGTCCGTCCGGTGGTCGGTTAAGTGGAGGCGAGGGCCGGCCGGGCCAGACCAGACCCAGCCGGGGCCGGGGCCGGGCAAAGGGATTTATTGTATTAAATCGTCGCGGCTTACCCGGAGGAACCGCAAGCGCATTGACGACGGCGTCTATGGCTTCCAGTTGTCGGCCTGGCCTGGCCTGGCCTGGCCCACACCCACTCCCATCGCAGCTGTCTGCGCATATTTGGTGTGCGGTTACATTTGATTACGTGCCAAAAGAGCTCGCACAGCCGCCCAACCGCCCCTCGGCGCTCTCGAATCTTTAATTCAACGTCGGAGCAAGGCGTTTTGGGTAAATGTCAAATGGCTGGTAATTTGTTATAAATAGCCAACTTCCGCCGCGCGACACAGCCCATAGATACATCCCGGGCGGGTGTGCGTGAGCTGGAGTGGAGTGCCTCGCGGATACTGGCATGTATTTGCGCTAATTCCAAGTGCTTAGTCGCGTGTTCAAAGTTGACAAAGGTCAACAGACGCAGGCCCAACGGAAAATGAATAAGTAAAGCCCAAACTACACTATGGCGGCCCTGGGATGCCCTCCCTCGCCCTCGCTCGAGGCGACCGAGATTGAATATCTCAATTCGAGAAAAGTTGCGCCACAAAAATCTCCGCCTAATAGAGGCCAATAAAAATAATTTTAGGAAGTTCCTGCCATCAGAACGAAGCGATTGGACGAATGTATCTATAAGATACTGGGCCGGCATCTAGCAGATTTCTATGGCACATTTAGGTGACTTTTATGCTTCACATCCTTCCTAATGACAAAGTTATTGCGCCGCTCCGCCACTCTGCCTCTCCGCCACTCGGTGCTGTTATCAAAAATGTATCCCAAAGATACACAACAATGGGCTTGTATCTGGCTGATGTTGCTGCTGCTCTTTCTGGTCTTGTGTTTGTTGTTTTTATTGTTGATGGCGCTGAGTGACGGCCGGCAACGTTAAATGACGTTGATTATAATTATGCGGACTTGTACTTTGTACCACAGAGGGCTAAAGGGCCCGGATGGTGATGTTGTTGCCGCGCCAGGGACTGCGCTGCTTGCTGTTCTGTTTGTTATTATTATTGCTGTCGTCATCATCATCATCAAAGTCATCATCACCATCCTCGTCATCGTCTTCAGGCAGCCTTCGACTGCCGTTGATGGGGCGGCCAGATGAATGATGTCTCTTAAATACAGACCGAGTCCAGGCGAGGCCAATCGTACTCATCATGATTGTTGTTGCGCTGCTCCAGCTTCGGTCCAGCTCCTGCTCCTGGTCCTGCCGTTAAATTCGAGCCAATTTGGCCTGGAGGGAGGCAGGTCCGGGCAGCTCCTCCCCTCCCCTTCCCGGGCTGCCCAGCATGTCGTCCGAGACGACATTCATAAGTACAAGTGCTCCTCGACGGCCTCTGGCGGTGGCAGCGTGAGTCGCTCGGAGCCTCCAGCTCAGTATCGATCATTTGGGGCTGCGAGAGCCAGCATCTCCCATCTACAGGAGACATTCATGAGCACAAGTGCTTCGCCCAGCTCCGCTCGTATAATATTATTACTTGGCGAATTAACTACGCCAAAGAAAAAACAAACACAAACTCGAAGATTGCTCCGGCAACTGGTTCTAAAAGGCACGAAATAGCTTCCGTAGACACATTAGTCGCTTTTACACAAAAACTGAGACGCCCGGGCAGGGAGGACAGGCCGGACAGGGCTGGCATGGGCAGGCGAGCAAAAAAGATGCAACTGAATGGGGCACATAAAGGCCTTCCCAAGCGCCGCTGCGGCACGGCAAAAAAGAACCAACACAGCGGAAAGAAAGAAAGAATGAAAAGGGGCCGGAGAAAAGCAAGAAAAATGAATACAAGTCAAAGACTTTGTCCAATGGTTTTCATCATTGCACGACTTCTGGACGGCGGAGGGAGTAGGGAGGCGGTGCGGCGGGTACTTCCCCGAGGGGCACCCCCGAATCTGGTCCGGGTCTGTGGCAGCTTCTGTGTGTCGGTCGGTGGACCGATGGACGGCGACATTGATGAGGATGTTTAGCCCGAGCCACAGTGGGGCAAGCGCAGAGGTTGGGACTCAGGCACTCCCGATAGATATTCAAGACTGCCTGAAAAGTCATCCAGTTAATTAACTGAAAACAAATACACTGCCAAGGATGGCCCAAGGTGAGTGCTTTCAAGTCATAACAAGGGTCCAGGCAGGCCGGGCGGTGATACATCTTCGTTCCTCAAATACTAATTAGGAGTCGGCCTGGAAAGAATGTGTGTCGGGAAATCGAAACCACGACCGCCAGCTCCAGAGGGAGATTCGGGCTTGCTTTCCCTAATTGATTCCATTCTAATTACAATATTTAGCCAACTCATTGACCTAATCACCGACAGCTCTCACACATCATTAATAACGCAGCTCCATATGGGGGATTCCTTATGGGGGATTCCTTTCACCTTCGACCAGAGCCGAGGCTTTCACATTCTAGCCTCCCGTGGCTGCGCAATTAGCGACTTTTTGGCACGACCCGATACTTTCCAATCCCGTCCCAGTGTGCAGTTCTTTCGCTGTGTTTTCATTTAGTAGATACAAGCTGCGAGTACACGGCACTCACACCACCGCGTCATCGCCGAAGATGCTGCATCATGTGGCAGCCGATTCGAGGCTTCTGCGGTCGCCGCAGCTTGATTATAAATGTACGAGCCAACTTGTATGACATGTAAGTTGTTGTACTTGCATCCGCCAGATGCAAGTGTGTGCATCTGTGAGAACGTGTATCTGCGCGGCTGCCGAGGAGCTTGCATGTGTGGTTGTCACTGCACCTGTCATCCTTTCTGGCTTTCTGCATTTCTGCCTGCCTGCCTGGCTGCCTCCTATCCGACTGCCTCGCAGCGATGAGCAAAAAATTATTATTTATCATCGGCGGGGCAAGGTCTCCGGTCTCCGGGACAAGTCAAACTGGAAATTATATGCAACTATAGAGGAGTATACGCAGAGAAGCGGCGGGCCCACTAATTACTGCACATCATTTGCTTACTCGAGAGCCTCTCCACCGCGACTCCGCCCGTCGCCCTGCCGATTTAATTGAGTAAAAAAATTGACTAATTAGAGTGAGTCCAAAGCACTTGGCTCCGGGCCACTCGGGCGCAAAAGCCCAAAACGAAAACGGCAAAAACAGGTCCACGGGAGGGGCTACCTGTTCTCATTTATTAAGGCCTGGTCAAGAGCGGTTTGAATCAAAACTGCGCCTCCGAGGCTCCGGTGTCTCCGTCGTCTCCGGCCTCCGTGTGTCGTCTTCGTATTTAATGATCATTAAACAAGCTTGCAGCCAATTGCACTAAAAGCTGCCTCAGTTCCGCCACAGTGGGCCCCAAAAGGCGCCCCGCCAGTGGCCAAAACGCCAGGGCCAAGGCCGACTGGCCAGGCAACCGACTCCACTGTGGCCCGGCCCTCGGACTGATGGAAACTATTGGCGAAGGAGCTCATCAGCTCGCCGGAGCTGCAAAGTGGCTGCCTTTTGTAAATTGCCCCGACATTCCAGAAGTCGGAGGCCCTCCCCCCGGCCCGCGCGTAATTTAAATAATCATAAAAAATAATAATTCCTTCTATCGGATGGCTCGGATGGCTGGACGGCTGGCCATGCTCAGTCGGCAGTCGCCTGTTGATTATTATAGCCCTTGTAATATCTTTTGCTCGTTAGCAATTTTCGTTTCAAATAAATAGTAATTAGTGAGGCAAAGGAGTAGGTCCTCGTCCTGCCTCCTGCCTCCTGCGTCCTTCCTACGACCGTCCTGCATTCCTCCACCTGGAAACCTGGAAACTATTGCGCCAAGTTTTTTGCACTTTGCTGACGTTCTCTGTTTTGGGCACTTTTATTTGACATTTTTCATTAAACACAAAGTGGAAAAAGGCTTGCCTGTCGGCGGCTGGGCCGGTCGGGGCTTTGAGGGGCTGTCGGCCTCAGAGCTGCGTTGACATAACATTTTTATACAGCCACCGCCGCCGCCGCCGCCCCCGCGCCTGCCTCGGCTCTTTTGGCCCGAAAGTTGGAAGGCATCTGGGGAAATATGTCAGCGTTGTTTAAGTTTTTAACATTTTCGACTGGGTGCTGGGATGCAGGGCCAGGATCGGAGTAAGGGTAGAGATAGCTATTTACTCTGGCATAATTGGCTTGTCGGCATAGTTATAAAAAGTTCTGCCTGGTGCAATTGGATTAAATGAATGGATACAGTGCCTCCGCCCGAGATGTGTACACAAAAGTTTGAGGAGATCTCTTTGGAGAT